TTTTTGGACTTTTTTTTTTCTTTTTTTTACATTTGAAGGTCACTGAGCAACAAAACAGCTTTATTATCTGCCGTTTTGGGCTTGTTCAAATGGAAAAGTAGAAAAAAATTTTTATACTGTAGGAAAGATTAATGCTTCGAAATGATGGGTTTTTCTTCTTTTTTTTTTGTAAACAGAATAAAAGAAAGCGTTGAAATCTCCGTTATATAGCGAACTGATCGTTTTGGAGGAAAAGGGGTAGAAAGGTTTTTTGTTTGTAATAAAAACAACAAAAATTTAAAAGGGACTTTTCCTTACCCTCTCCCTCCCCACCTTCGTCAACATCTATTTTTCTCATCGTTTTGCTGTCGCAGGGGGAAAAAAAAAAGTAAATGTAATAGTTTCAACTGCTTTTATTATTGCTTTTGTTACTTTTCTTTTTTTCATTTGCCAAAATAGTTTTTGCAAACTTCAAATCAGTTGAAAGGATTGTAAAGAAGAGTATCATTAGCATTCATACAAACTGGCTGGTTTCTTTTTTTTTTATACCCCCAAACGGAAATGGTATCCATTAAAAGATCATTTGCTTGCTTCTTTTTTTTTTTTTTTTCAAAATGTCTTGAGTGTTTTTTTTTTTTGGTTATGTCTTCTTTTTAAAATTTGTAGAGAGTTCATTTTTACTGATTACTGTTTTTTCGTTAATGACAAAGAAAATTATGATATCTGTTGATGGTAGCAGTGTTTTCATTTTTTTTTAGAACTTTCTCAACCTGTTTTTCCTTTGATTTGTTCGTTACCGCTACTGATAAGTTTTTAAATGATTAAATTAATTGAAATTGGTGTATCCCTCTATTCCTCACCTCAATAAATCAGTAGTTTTTTGAGTGTTAAATCACCGTTCTCATTGCTGCTAATTTTGCGCTGCTCGTTGAACCACATTTTACTTTTCAATAAACTTTACTGAGGCTGCTGCTGCTGCTGCTGCTGCTGCTTCTGCTTCTGCCACCGCCGTTGGTGGTTGGCTTATGCTACTGGTGAATTGACGGATTCATTGAGTTATTATTTTACAGATCAATCAAATGTGTAAAACTGTCGTTTTATGATGGACGCAATTTATGGATTCTTTTCCGTGAAACTTTTGTTTATATGAACTGTTTTTTGATTTTTGTTCGATTTATTGAAAATAAAAGAAAAGAAATGATTGAAAAAAAAAAAAAAAAA